AGGCCAAGTGCAGAAAGTCGCCGTTACACTTGTCTCTTACACCAAACAGCTACATACTTAATTATTTAAAGCACTCAGAAGTAGGTTTTGATAAAGAAAAGAGAGTTAGAGGAACTGGCGAAATGAGTATTAAAATCGTTGCACAACGATCCAAAAGGGTCTTGCATCTCAAAGACTGTTCTGCATGAATACAATGAAAGGGGCCTAAAAAGTTCACTAAGTAGTAACGAGTTATTAGTAGCTCGATTATGCAGCATCTAATCAAAGGATGGGGAAAAGATATATTCGCAGTTATTGAAATTTAAAGACGTACCGTCCGCGTCACACCACCGAACCAAGTTCTTTAGATCAAGTTGCAAAAGTTCTCTATCGTCAATAGAATGCACCGATTTAAAGAGCTTAACCTAATCTGCCTACAGGAGTGTTTTAGAATGGAAAACCACATTTAATGTAGATATAATGTCGTTGGTCCCTTAGTTGACTGCCTTAAGGTACGCCAGCTGTTACTGAAATTTCACGTTATGAATAATATTTAAATATCACTTTTAGTGTCTACCAATCAAGTACGATGAAACCTACTTGAGAAAGAAAGGAAAAAACCTGAAATAATGGAGTTTAAAGTATCTGACAATAGCTTCCTTGGATTACGTAGTCTAGTAGTATTATGCATGTAAGTACTGATTTTCAGCTGCCGGGAGGCATATAGCCTGGGAGCAGTTAGAAATGCTTTGTTTTTAGCTACTGGGTACTCTGGTGGAATGCTCGAAATTGCTTGTAGTGCTGCAGATGGTGTTCTTTTCAGTGCCTCAGTGATACTGATCGTGCAAAGATGGAGTACTCTTTCCAGCCTATTCAGACTCCGTAGAAAAGTATTCGCTTAACAATGGCAATGAAGATCCAGTGGGAGATAGCGAGGGTGAGTCCCCAAATGCAATCCATTATATAGGACCGCTAATGTCGTCTTCACTCCCTCCGCCGCAATAAGTATCCACAACAAATTGTTAAAAAACACGATTCCCAGGTACTTGGTGCTATGTTTCAGCTAAAAAGTGCTTTTCCTAGCTTTAGCTCGTTCCAAGCTGGGATTTAACATTTTATTGTGAATGGTACCATATCTGTTTTATCAGTATTAACATTTAATCCTGCTGAAATAGACCAATTATGCCTAATTCGCCAGTGATCCGATGGTAGCCAAACACTTACGCCTTCTATGACTGAGATATCGTCCGCACAAGAAAGGGTCCAGAGCAGGGTTGATAGTATTCCACCTTGTGAAGTTCCCCTGCATATATCTCACGTCACGACGTCTAATCCCCATTGCGCTTGGATCTTCCTGTAGCTAAGCAAGACATATATCTTATACCTAAGAACCGAATTCAGTCCTGTAGAGTTTAAAAGTATTGTTTAAAGCTCCAGATATATCGAGAGAATTGCTCAAACCACAAGATGAAGAAAAGAACAAATATACATAAATCAAAATAAAATTGTTGGAAAATATTTTCATACGAAATCATTATTTAACATATAATTTACCAAATTAATACACATACAAAAAATTTGTTTATACAGAAAATATTGAATTTCAAACACACGAACCCACCAGTGCAAAGGCATACACGTATGCGTTGCTAATCGTTTTGTTTTGGTCGCGCGTTCAGTAAACACAAAAGCGCAAGCAAAGCGGGCACCGCACAGCTGGAGACAAATCGACAACCCAACCCACCAATAAAATGCATTATACGTGTATGTCAGTTGGGTTCGTTCGGCGCAATTTACAGGTGATTGCTTGTGTACTCTTGATCAAAACAAAGTGCTTTCATATTGCCCATACATTTATTACCGTAATGTTTAACATGCTAGTTTATACGTCGGTTACATTGTTTGCTAAATGCACACTCATTTTCATATATAAATAATTATTTACAAATGTATGTGTTAAATATCAATGGGAAATAAGTTTTTGTCTAGCGTATTGCGTGAAAGAAATGATTCACATCTGTTAGGTTCAACATAGACCAGATATTCACCATGCGCCAAATCTTGGAAACAATCAATGAGAAAAGGATCGACACACATCACCCATTGTTCGCCTTTTTTGTAGAACTCAATAGCCTCTATCCCGCTTTGTCGGCTAATACGTTTGTGAAAACTGACGATGGGCAATACCAAAAGCTCAACCCGTTCGATGCAGAACGAGGCTTCAGGCCGGGTTGATTAAGTATCTTATACTACAGCTTAGTATTGAGGCAGGAGCTATTGATATCAGTAGGCTCAATTGCGGGGTTAGTTCGGCTCTATAACTATTCCATGATTCCCCTTTGGATTTTACTGTATTGTGGAACAATGGAACTATGAGCTATAGCATTGACATAATTGATCGAACAATAGCTAGATCATGCCATCCGGACAGATATTTAAATCCTACAGTTGAATGTTTTAGAGATCGCCAGTGAGGGATTGAGAATTGTGATACAGTAGTTCTCACCTTCACAGATGTACGAACCATTTCGTGTGCCTCTTTAACGATGCCGGCATTGCTAATACCAGCCGTTGCTACTTCAACCAGGCAATCAAAGAAGGGAGTCTTAGGTATTTACGTCGTGTGATGCTTAGGGCTGGACAGTGACTGAGATAGTGCTTCTGCGTCCCAGGAGCTGCGATCCAAATCATTTTAAAAATCTCCCATTCTCCTGCCGTGAAATCCCTTTAAACATTGTTCAGTTAGCATGACCTTTGCTGAATTAATGGTCAACCGGTCTAGGCGGATTAGATACTTTAATATTTTGACGTTCATAACAAAGCTGTCTAGTCACGTTCCTGGTTACTTCGCCTAGCCATTTGGTGTTGGCTGATTTTGTGAAAGCCAGCTTCAGTCTGAATTTTCCTGTAGACAAGGGTACGCCGGCCACACAGTTGGCTGGGATATCCCTACATCCGGGTACCCAGATCTCAGCTGTATTTCATCTAGCTGTGAGCTTGTTTAAAGTGTTTCTGCATTTCAAATCCACTTTTAATGTGGTGTAATAACATTGAAAAGATTGAAAGATTGGCATCTTGGCCTTTCTCCAGTTGAGAGCATTGGTGAGTAAATTCCACAGCCTATCCTTTGATCGAGTTTAGAGCCATCCGGAAAGATTGCTATGTCACTCTTATCCGGAGTATTTAAATTTCCCCATTTTTTCCTGTCCGAGATTTTTATGGAGAAGAGCTTGTGAAAAGAGTAAGTAAGCATTTCAGGTCACTTGAAATTTGCTCGGAAGAAAAATTAAGAAGAGTTTCCAGGGCTTTTATAGAGTCGACGGAAAAGCTCCAGTAAAGAGAATATCTTCCGCCGACTGAATACAATTTTTTTTAGAGAGTTGATCACCAAACAGTGGCCCGGTAGAATAGAATAATAATAATAATAACAATAAATTAATAAAACAGTTTAAGTTTCATGCATAAAGTGCTGTAATAATTTTCGTAGACCTATCCACCGTGTCTGGGCTCCAGTTGAGCTTGCTATCTTAGTTTATCCCGAGGTATTTGACTTCGGTAGACAGAGTGGTTTCCATGCCCACATACCCTGCATCAGCTTCCTACTTTGTTTAGGGTATTTTGGACTAAATCACAATCACAGCCTGTGCCATCTAGTTAGCACATAAATTATATATAAATATATGTATATAATTTTCGCTTTATAACCGCTGAAGCGATTTTCGGCCAAGTTCCTCCTCCAATTTGTGGTTTTGCGTCTTGTTGTTTTTCCAACAAATGGAGGGACCTTTTTCATACCAGAAATACACTAGAGAGGTTGACAGGTTGAAATTCCCTACCGAAGGGCGACCGCTATTAGAAAATGTAAATTAATTTTTTATTTAATATAAATTTTCTATGAATTTTTTGGATGTTAGGGCGACACCAGGATATCAATGAGCAAAATTTATATAATAGTATACACATATAGGCCATTCAAAAACTATTGCATACATTCAGGTGACATACTTTGCATTTTTTTTTGTGATGTAATTTCATTAATAATTAAAAATATAATTGAATTGACTTTTACATTTTGTATAGGTGAAAGTAATTAATTTATAAACCTATCCTTCGATCAGCTAAGTAAACACACATAAATATGTGTATATGTAATGTAGGTACGTAAAAGTCCTTTGCCAAGTACACAAAAAGTATTCTCTTAACATTTCAGCAAATGAATTATTTACAAAGAATGTAACGAGTTGCAGCAAATTTCCTGGGCTACTTATGTCCAGGTGCAATATAAATTTATATACATGCGTATATACATATGTGCACACATGCGTACATATGTGTGAATTATAAATTGCTCTGACAGCCTACTTTACTAACAACACAATTCATTATTGTACATACTCGTACAGGTAAGCATACAGATACACATACATATGTGCATATGTACGTAGGTATGTACATGCGTATTTACTCCATATAGATTACATACATATGTATGTCTGTTGGAAAAAACGCCCGACTGTTTAGTTGTTGTCTATTCAGGACTTTTTACTTGTTTATGAGTATTAAGGTAAGTGTTAATGCATCGCACTTAAAGAGCCAGTAAATCAAGAATAAGCTCCCCAATAAAATTTTTTATTAAGTTTAAATAATTCAATTCAATCATTTTTTTCCAAAATCATGATTTGAAAGTTGCATGAAAACTATTATTTATCTTTCCAACCAGCACAAAACCAAAATCGAGTCTCAACTGTCGAAGTAAAAAGACTCTGTAACGCTAATAAATGCATTGTCTAGTTGATGTTGCTTTGAATAGCAATACGTGGGATAGGAAGGCGTGATTTATCGATTTCTCCATTTACAAACACCGATACATACTAACTCATTCCTATGGAAAGATGATTACGCATCGAAAGGGAGTTTATCTAAAGGAATTTTCCCTCACAAGTCGAGCAATTAAATGCTGAGTTATTTCATTTGAACTAATTGTTATATATGAGTAACAAATAAGAAAAAGATGAGCTTACCAGATGCGAAAACAACACTGAACGGTATTTTCTTAGCCATTTTTCTGTGCTACAGCAGATTTTCACAAGGAAACTGGGAGCTCAAATCACGAGAAATCTTAAAACACAATTAATGGCTGATGTATATAATTTTATATGTATATAGACTTAACGCCTTTCTTACTACTGCACTTTTTGTAACACACTGTATATACAATTGATTTTTCTTATATTTTTGCTCTTCTTTTATTATATTTTATCACATTTCAATATTTTAATTTATGTACATATTTTTTTAATTCGGATGTAACTCCATGTAACCAATTGTGTTTTTTTTTTGTCTTCTGAAATATCTTAACCGTTCCGTTGGTAACAGTGCTTACGCGTTCGTCCAAAAAGCAACTACCACATACCACCCTCGATTATTTTACAAAACTCAAAGCTGTTTAATATTGCTTCACCGCCATTAAAAGTACGCACAGCATTCGCATAACAACAATAACTGGCGCCTGCGCTTTTGACGTGATGTCAAAAACAGCTGATTTTGTTTTCATTTAGCGGTGTTTTTTATTGTTTTAGAACTGCACGTGCGCTCATCAGTTGATGTATAATTCATTATATATCCACACATACAAAATATAAACTCGTTACTTTAACTTAAACGAATGACGGTGCTCTGCTTTGACAAGCTGGCGAAGAGTTCGACTTGTCTCGCAAGGCCTGGCCAATTAAGCATAAACTACTATTTATCTGGACTTTACTCCGAGCTAAGTATGTGCCTAGCTTAGTCCTTCATGTAATGAGTGCCCGCACGGTATTTACCACCCCTTTGCACACCAACTAAAACTCACTCGTCTAACAATTCTTTCCTCCTGGCCCGAACTGACCTCAAATAAGTTTGCCTGCTTCTAGTCGGCCGTAGATCTTTCATAATTAGGTGTGCATACTTTACCAGACTGGTCTATGAAACTAATGTAGCGCCTTGTTCAGATCATTATAATCTTATTCGCTGCTCCCGGTGATCCAAGTCGTAGGATACGTCCACTTCATGGGCTTATATTACAAGACTTCAATGACAACTGATGATGAACCAAAGATGCCTAGCTACGAAACTCATTTTATAGTGAGAGCGCTCAAAAATATGCAATTTTTATAATATTCCAAAATAGCCCTGTGATAACTTCTTGAGAGTTTAAAGAAATTTCAGGTAATTTCTTACGAACAAGAAATACCTAAACGTTTTAATGGCAATTTTGCTACAATATTTTATTGAAAAACAATGGAGTATTTATTTATTATTATATTTAACGTTGACAAGGGTTCCTTAATATTGTATGCTAAATTCTTTTGCTATTAAAACAGTGGATTTTTTTTATTTACATAGTGGAGAGCTAGTCATATTTGGAATGACCAAAAATTAAATTTTTGTTAGAATCACAACCAAAATAATTTCATTTCAATTCGAAAATTCTAAACAATGCTGACAAAGTGAGCAGTGACGGTGAAATGTATAGTTTATTTGTGGGTATTTTAACATTTTATGTCAGAAGAAAGCAAGAAAAAATACCTTCGATGAATATTTCCAAAATAAGGAATAAGGACGAAATTGAATTGTTTGCTCACAAAAGAATATCACGGAAAAAACACGATGCTATTGTCACCTCCACACAAATTCAAACAACTTTTTATTATCCGTTTCGGGTTTGATTTTATTTAATTTAAAGATCTTATAAAAGAAATTTATTTTAAAAAATCAGGAAACGAGTAAAAGAAAAGCGGCAATCACTAACTGCAAAAAACCGGATGCAATCAATTGGTTTAGGCCACGGCATTATGATATGGCTACATCCGTCGAAAACAGTGTTGTTGTAACCGCAAAATATTCCCTGAAAACTAAGTTCGGGAAATAATGCAGGAGTGACAGTCCTTGGCCGAATAAAAATCCAGGTCGTTCAGATATAAAGACCCGGCTGTCGCTATTGGAACTATTGTATTTTATTCGGTTTCTACGTCTTTCTTATTTCTAATAACAAGCATTTTCAGTTTATTTTCTATATGAGCCCACAGATGTTCAATTACGTAAATGTCGGGAGATTGAGGAGGTGTTTCAAGCACTTTGGGACAGTTATACATCAGCCATAGACGGACATCAAGTGCTTTATGCTTGGGATCGTTGTCTTGGTAGTACTGGAAATTGTCTTTAATTCCCAACTTTTCCTCACTTTGCACTAAATTTTCTTTTAAAATGGTCAGATATTGCTTGTGGTCCATATTACGATTTATGAAACACAAATTTCCAGCACCAGCTGCGGACATACAACCCCATACCATTACTGAGCCGCCCCGTGTTTAACAGTCGGACGTAAATTCTTTTCTAGCAACTCTTCATTCGGTTTTCTCCAAACATAAGACTGTCCATCTGACCTAAATATATATAATTTGCTTTCATCTGCAAACAAAATTTGTTTCCAGAATTAAAAATCCCTATCCTCTTGACATTTTGTAAATTTTATCCTTTTGTTTCGGTTAACCTCGTTTATAAATGGTTTCTTCCGTGCTACTCTTCCATTCTAATTATTTTTTCGTAAGACTATTCGGATACTCTCCAGATTACAATTTATATTGAGATGTTGCAAAACTTCTGTTGAGAGCTTGGGAGCGCTCATGCTTGGATTTTTTTGATTTGCTGCACTATCAACCGCTCATCTGCACCCGAAAACAACTTCGGTCGTCCAGACTTCTTTTTGTTTTCCATGGATTTTGTTTGTGTGAATCGTTTAATCACGTCATGCACAGTCGAGCGGGGTCTGCTCACAATTTCTGCGATTTCCCGAATGGTTTTTCCCATTGTCCACGCTGTATACCCAAGTTTGAACTTTTCACCTTTTTTTCCAAAAAGAAAACTACTGAAATTTCATTCTAAGCTATTACGTTTGATTATATACATATGTATTATTAAACGCAAACAAACTAATTGTGGGATTACCCTTTTTAAAATGCCATGCCGACTTCTTTTTTGGCGAAATTTCTAGCAGGCCACATGTTAATTTTTTTGAAGCAAGGGTATAGGAGACCTATAAACTATTTCATTTGTTTGTTTGTTGTTATTGGTATTTTTTAAATGCTTATTGGATACCCTATAGAAATATAAAAAAACAAAAATGCTTAATATTGTTACGATTTTACTAAATCAACCTCGATTATTTTCTAGATCCTTCGGGTACGATCTCTGGATTGTTAAATAAAAACTCGCCAACTTAATTTGCAGTCTCTTTCGTTATAAAGAATTAATCTAATGTCCCTTATTTTCTCAGTAATTCACAATTCAATTATACTGCACTTTACTATTTATAATCACTAACATCAACAGTGAAATGAAATGAATGCGATCCCTTGAATTCATGAATTCATTCAATACTTGTGACAAATTTTGCAAACTGAAAATGTAAACAAAACTCAGCTGTTTGAGTTAACTCACTTTCAGTGGAAACGTTTGATATTTCATTCACTTAACAGAGGCATTATATGCATTTAAGTGCTTGGTGGAAATAGGCTATTACTTTCATTTGCATGCGTCAACTTTAATTGAATTCAAGTTTTTCTTTACTTACTTCCTTTCGACATTTAGAATGTAATTTAGTAATTGATCGAGTTTTAATTTTAATTTTGCACAATTAAACTTACCTCACCAAGAGAAGAGAAATATAAGGTTGTCAAATATCTCCCTTCCGTTTTTTTGCTCTTCATTCAATGCTTTATAAAAACTGTTACAGTGATCGGATTTAGTTAAAATATGCGCCGTTTTGTTCGATGATCTGTTTCCATCTAGACGGCAACTTCATAATACCTTCCTCGTAGAAGCCCCCCTCCTTATTTGCGAAGAATTCGGACAGCCACTTTTCACAAGCCTCTTTTGAGTTCAACTTCACACCACCAAGAGCATTCGCCATGGACAGGAACAGGTGGTAATCACTTGGCGCTACGTCCGGGCTATATGGGATACGATAAAACCTCCCATCTGAGCTCCCGGAGCTTCTGACGAGTCATCAACGAAGTGTGTGGTCTGGCGTTGTCTAGGTGGAACACTACACCCTTCCTGTTGGCCAATTCTGGACGCTTCTGGTCGATCGCCTGCTTCAAGCGGTCCAGTTGTTCGCAGTAGATGGTAGAATTAAGCGTCTGGCCATATGGGAGCAGCTCATAGTGGATGATTCCCTTCCAATCCCACCAAACACACAGCAAAACCTTCCTGGCAGTCAATCCCAGCCTGGCCACTGTTTGGGACGATTCACCGGCCTTCGACCACGACCGTTTTCGCTTGATATTGTCGTATGTGATCCATTTTTCGTTGACAGGTCCCCTTCCGCTTCAAGAATGGGTGGAGTTCGTTCCGGCACCCAAACATCAAACTTTTTTTTGTATCCAGACTTCTGCAGATGGTTCAAAATGGTTTGGTGACTAACTCCCATCTCCTGGGCGATGTCACGAGATGCCATATGCCGGTCTAACTCGATGTATTCCATGATTTGATCGGTATTTGTCGTCACAGGTCTTCCGCCGGCTGGCTTATCCATGGTGTCGTTTTCACCGGCTCTGAATCGTCGAAACCATTCCTCTGCGGTTCGAAGTGATAGAGTACCATCCCCCAAAACACCATTAATCTCACGGAACGTTTCTCTAGCGGATTTGCCTTTAACGAAGGAAAACTTTAAAATAGCGCGAACTTCGGCGTTAGTGAACTCCATGTTTACACGTCTATAACTGTTGAACGCAATATCCAAACTAATCATGCATAGCGTTGTTTTGTAGGTTATGTCAAGATCTTTCAAATTATGTATAGTTTTGCAGGATACGAGCTGTAGCGCTTTGTAAATAGCCGCGAAATTCAAAAGACAAAAAAACGGAAGGGAGATATTTGACAACCTACTATGTCAAACGTAACGAAAATGTTAAAAGCAAGGCAAGAAAAATGTAAAGACTTGCCTGTGTCGAGGTATCTGTACCCTTCCTTTTTCTTCTCACCTCCCTCGTCCACGAACTAGTATACTTGAAAGCGAGACTTAACGCGTGTGAAAGGGGGCTTAGTTTATGTTTGTTTAATATTTGTTTAAAAATGTCAATACTGGTAACCTTGTATAACAGCGTGCAGTAAGCTAAACCGGTTTCACGGAGAAAACCAAGTCGCAGCTGGTTTCTCCGGGAAAAAGGTCAGTAACGGCATTGGCAAGCGGTGAAAACTTTTCATTTATGTATATGGCGTTCTCATAAGATAGGTTGCTTTGGCTGGGATATATATAAGATGGGTAGTTACAAAATAAAGCTAATTCACATAATAACACAAAGTTTCTATTTGACAGATATGTCAACTCCTACTTATCCGACACCAACATAGGTAGCGTATGTCCTGCATGTAGAGAGTCTCAGCACGACACTAACCAGTCCCCACCCTCTCCCTCTGGTCAGATCCCGTCGAAACAGTACATTTCTTGGATCTCCTCTTAGATAACTTCGCTGATTTAGATTAATTACCCTGTCATTAAGAGGGCTTAGCGACCGCTACAGCAACAACGTTCCATATTCATTTTTGTTCAATAGACACATACACATACACATTCCAATTGCAAAAGGTGATCCACTTCAATGAAAAATTCACAGTTCTTTTCCGTTCTGTTAATATACAACCTTTGCTATTATCAAAATTTTATCGTTTTTCTAGGACATGAGCTACAAGTATAGAAACAGGATTTCGTAAATAATTATATTTATATATTTTTGCTCCATCAAAAAAAGAACTTAAATTAAACATTTTCTAAGTTTATGCTTCATATCTACACGGGTTTATTCTACTCGGGTTAAGCCTACAAGCATAAACGCTAAATTTTCTCCTCGAATTCTGAATGAAATTAATATCAGGGTTGTTAAGTCCAACTTTGATACATTTTTGCTTAAATTTTAAGTAAGCAATTATATATATTGCAAAAAGTTAGCAATACAAAACTCTACATCAAGCAGGTTAAATATCAATCCACTTACTCAAATACATTTCAACTCAACCTGCGTTTATGCTACGGAGTTAATGTCTCTACATACAGTAATGAAAGAAAATGATTATAATTTACCTAAGTAGAGGCTTTAATTCGTGGTGAAAAAGTTTTTATGCTTGCGAGTTTAATCTACCCGAGCAGAATAAATCCGAGTAGAAATGAAGCAACAACGTAGTAATTTACTTTTAATTAGAACGAATGTAATTTCACCGGCTGGCAGCACCCTCAACCAGTATTTACAAAACACGTCAGCCGGTAAATTTTTCTATTCTAATTAAGTGTTTTAAAGAGAAAACCGAGTAAAAATGGCTTCAATTGACCACAAATATAGTATTTTATTACCTACATACAATGAGAAAGAAAATTTGCCTATAATTATTTGGCTCATTGTCAAGTATCTTAGTGAAAGGTAGGTGTAATTGTAAAGTAAAAGCCGATTAAACTGTGTCTTTGTTACCAATTGATTTCTTTTTCAGTGGCTACAAATATGAAATTATTGTAATAGACGATGGTAGTCCAGATGGAACTATGGATGTTGCCAAGGACCTACAAAAGATTTATGGGGCAAAGACTATAATACTACGACCACGCGCCTCCAAATTGGGATTAGGCACAGCATACATACATGGTATTAAACATGCTACTGGAGATTTTATTATTATCATGGATGCAGATTTAAGTCATCACGTTAGTATGAAGACAAGCTGAAGTAATGGCCATTGAAGTATATTTATATTAATTGTTTACTTTCAGCCTAAGTTTATACCCAAGTTTATTGAGCTTCAAGCGAAAGAAGATTACGATATTGTTTCGGGTACACGGTATAGCGGCGATGGTGGGGTTTTTGGTTGGGATTTCAAGCGCAAGTTGATTTCGCGTGGTGCTAATTTTCTTTCACAAATTTTATTGCGGCCAAATGCTTCGGATCTAACAGGCTCATTTCGTTTATACAAAAAGAATGTGCTTGAGAAATGTATTGCGAGTTGTGTCTCCAAGGGATACGTCTTCCAAATGGAAATGTTGGTTCGCGCTAGACAACATGGCTACAGTATTGGTGAAGTCCCTATAACTTTTGTAGATCGCTTGTATGGCTCTTCAAAATTAGGTGGTACAGAAATTGTACAATTTGCTAAAAATCTATTGTACTTGTTTGCTACGACATAATAAATTGTCATAAAATAAATATGTATAATAATCTGTAAATCAATCAAAATCAAGGTCTTAAGTAAATATAGCCATTATGGACGAATTCTTTATTATATAATAAAAACGATCGCACTTAATAGTTGTGGTAGAATACTCGCCTGTTAAGTCAGGATCCGTTGGTTCGATTCCTGCCGTAAGAAGTCTGATGAGGAGATGTGGTGATCTCCGATCTTTGTTGTATAACAAATATTCAATTCATACAAACAACAAGGCCTCGTAGTTTACTTAATAAAATTAAAACGATTTTTAGTTTGATTATTGTTTCATCCCGCCGTTATATATTATATATAATTGGCGCTTTGTAACCGCTGAAGCATTACTGTTAATAAAAAGGAAAAAAGTATATTTAATCAAGCAAAATCATGATTCCTAAAAAAATTTAGGCGAGTGTAATTAATTTATATCAGAAATCACAATCCTTAACGGTCCGTCACCTGACGGAAACCAAATGGAAAATATATAAAGTTTTTTGAATTTGAATGAGTTAGATGAGTGAAATATAGAAAAAGCAGAGGCGCGCATAGGAGGTATTTCGGACAGGAAAATCGATACACTTTATAAAATCGATCTGTTGTTCTGCGGTGTCTTGTAATAATAATTGCTGTTGCAGCGTTAGGTAGGAGTTATTTTTTTTATCGAAGAGTACAGCGTTATCTGACCCCCGCCCAACCGGCTGGGGGCGCATCTGAGAGATAATCGATGAATCCAACAGACCGTTGACCGAAAACCAGTAACAGTCCGGACTCTCCTGAACACGAAACCGATCGTGGAAGGACGCGGTTACACTTGCCTCTACTAAACAGCTACAAATATGTTCATCAGCTGCTATTAAATTGCATTGGGGAAAGGAGAGGGAATTTATTTAAAAATTTAAAGCACTCAGTAAGTAGGTTTTGATACAGAAAAGCGATTCAGAGGAATCAATGTAGATGAAATGTATATTAAAATCGATCAAAGGTGTAAAAGTTTGTTCTGCATAAGCGTAATTAAAGAGCCCTAAAGTGTCTAGATGATCTTAAAGGGATGGAAATTTTAAGCTTCCTAATATGAATGGGTTATTGATAACACCTCTTACCAATTTAGTTAAAAAAAAACTCCAAGCATCTTTCTTCGACCTTGGAGCGAAGGCAGATTAATGAGCCGTTAACGACTTTTGTAAGAAGGCAGTTTCTTGTTCGCCATATTCCAAGCCTACTACATTATCCAGATCTAAGTTACGACAGTATTACGTGAGTCCCACAACTCGCAATCCGAGATCTTCATCTGCTATGGATGGTGATTTGACTTGGAGGACGCAATTCACAGCGGAAGAGTGTCTGAAGGTGTTGGTAGACTGTACAGTGGCCTGTCTAGCGGTTGTTGCATATGTTTCTGAAACGCTTGGTTTAGCCGCTATTGTTTGAATAGCATAGCATTATGCTCCTTAACTCGTAGCATAGATGCGTCTCTGTGCAAGTGGCCGAAGAACAGTGTTCTGACCTGATTGTAGCGTCTTCATCGGTATTTCGCTAATCCCTAGCGTCCAAATCGGAGCAGCGTAATGTACTACAAGCCGGCCAATCGCCTTATATGTTCCGAGCAGGGCTTTTTGTTTTTACCCAAGGTAATGCCGGCTAATGATTTGAGCATTTCTTGTTGCTGCTCTGTTCTTTAGGGGCAATTGCAGGCGTATGCGGAGCGAAGAAGTATAGGTTGTCGAATGTGACTCCCATTAACTTTTTGTTGTTTATCGCCGGAATTTTTACGTTTAATATCCTGGGCAGGCGCCAAAAACGAGCAGCTATCGTCTGCCCCTGCGTCTTTGGAGCTCAAAATTTTATCCGTCGTAAGACATGCCGGTCGTAAGAGATGACTAAAATCCAAAAGTTTCCGCGATGGTCGGATCTTTATGCGCGAACGACCCGTTTTTTAATTAGGAGAATATTTTGAGGTTTAAAAACTTCGAGATGTAAGAATTAAACAGAAGCAGGGAAAAGTCACCTCTTAACTTGAATATATCTGAGAAGCTGTTGTTCGCCGTTGGCAAGGACTTATAAATTCGTCATCTATGAGCTGTGCTAAGTTAACAAAAATAAATTCCTTGAATTCCAATATTAACAGTTTTTAGTAAAATATTTTATGCCTAAATTGTGTATATTGTAATGCCGCTAACTAAAACACATTCTATAGCGCTGGTATCGAATATTCTGTATATTGTAAGAACATGCCAGAAACTACTAGAATTGAGTACGAGCAATTGATGAGGTAAATAGAAGAGCGGCCAACGCGAGTTGGATCAGTTACGAAGTATACTCGTTTACAGCTAATTCGGTACAAGTTGAGGAAAACAACTAATTAATCGACTTTGAACTAATCATAGCAACTCTGCTTTCTTTAGAGTTCCGTCAAATGTAGAATTCGCTGAACAAAAACAAATGTGGATAATTTGGCAGTAGTTGGAAACTAAAACTTTGTAAAATTATAAAAAAAATATTTAACATTTTAATATTCTGTGTGGAGGAAGTCCTATCTCTTTCCCAAATAACAAAATAATTGTTTTTACATTTTAAGAACTTATATATAAATTTGTATGCATTTCACAAATATACAACCGTAAAAAGAAGAAAAGTCGCAACAATAACAAGAAAGTACTGTTTGGTTAAACTCAACTATCTAACCGTTGTGTGGAATCCACGCGGTCCCTGCAGATCCAGTTCGAATAGAAGCCGTAATTTCCTATATCTACATTTGTACAACACGACGCTTCCGGTAGCAAAAGAAAGTAAGATGTCTGTAGCGGACTTTCTCAAGGACCTCCCTAGTCATAATGCTCAAAATTTTTCGCAATTTAATATGGAACATGGACTACGCACATCCCAGAAACGAGCTTCCGTATACCTGCCCACAGAGGATGTGCCGTCAGAACAACATATTGTGATGGACAAACGATGTGTATTGCTGAGATATCTTAAGCAACAATGGGATAAAAAGACATTACCTCGAAAACGTGATCACAATAGTAGCGCCGATGGCAATGGCACAGCGAACAGCAATTGTAAAAAGCGTCCCCGATTAGAGCCACTCGAAATGAATTAAATCGAATTGTTTGAAACTGGAAAGGAATTTATACTACAAGATGGGAAATGGGTGGGGCGTATAAAGCATGAATAAATGATCTGTCCGGAAATCGCTTATTACCTATAACATAAATCTATTTTTTTCTTTAATTTTTGGCACTAACAATACTAAGTTCCAAAAAAAAGCCAAGTGTATTAAAATATCTTAAAAAAAAAAGAATTGGCTAAATATTTGATAAAATATTTACTTAAATCTTGTACAAACTCCATAGAATCTTTCAACCTTCACTTGGGAAAATTTAATATCCAACAATTATTAAGTTAATTTTTGCAATAAGATTTTTTTTTACAAAATATCTGTAAACTCATAATATCAAAACGTAAATTATAAACAATAGTCTGCAAATTCGAAAAACAGTGCGAACGTGCACTTAGCCATTACATCTTAGTTGTTAAGATCTTATTTTCTAAATATTTGAATGTAAGCAATTTTGTAAGTCGCAAGTCATTTATACACATGGAATATTTGGAAATAACTGCTACTAAAATATAAAATCTCATATGCACGCATTAAAAATACAGTTTTATTTAGAAGTTATCGCAGTACTTTAATCGAGCTTCGACTTTGTTTCTGAATAACTCTACTCCTAAAAGTTATAAAAATTAATATCTGAATCTCTGACAACCGCACTAAAACCATTTTATCCGAAACTGTTTCTCAGCCCAGCTGTATTCCATTAGCGGTATATAGATGAGAAACACACGAAACAAAGTAAATCTCTAGGCTAAATACAATGATTTATTTTCCATAGGCAGCTTAAACTTCTACACTTCTTTGTATTTAATTTTGACAACAATGTTCGTTCGTTTTTGCCTCAGATTTATTCGGCATATTTTTAATGGTGTCCCAAATCCTTTGGATCGGGTTTGCCGTATTGTTTCTCCCACCAAACAACAAATTCCTTCTTGCGTTGTTCCCGTTTAGCGAAATACTCGGGATACTGTGCTTTTTCAAGTGGATGCCAATAGTCAATAACCCAATCGGGAGGAATTACCTCTCGTTCAAACGCACATCCACCAACGCTGTTAGCGGCTAAAAAAAAAACAATAAATTCATAATAAGCTCAATTTATTTAAACTTTTAACAAAAATCATCATCTTACGGTATTTCGGCTGGAAATGTTTGGTTTCGAAGAGCTCTTGTTCGCCAGCAGCTAATAAACGTGAGGCTTCAGCCATGTCGCTCACACAGCGATTTTTTTCAAACCGCTGACGCATTAACACCGCTCTATAGCGGTAAATATTTCTGGAAAGATATACATATTTCTTGAGTAAAAATTAAAGATTCTGATAAATTACATAATGCTGTTTCGGATTGCCTTTACCGTCGTATTCAACTAATACCATACATACTTGCGGTCATACCAAGCCTCCAGATTACGAAGAGCACGTTTGTAAAGGCTACAAACTTGTCGTGAATGTGTCTGCACGGCAAACGGTACCGACATTTTCAGAAAATCCTTTATTTATTATTGATGCGTTTTCAAAGCTACACCAAATATCGTCTAGGGATATGAAAACAGCTGTTTGTCAAAGTGTATTGAACGGCAAATGTCACGTCGAAAAAGTTTAGAATGTCAACTATGGATCCACATAAAAAAACTTAGATCCCAATGTCGTATACGATGTGTTTTGCTGGGAACGTAAAAATATCGTTGATATCAAAGAACGTATATGAAACCCTGAAAACGGCTCTATCGCATTTACACAAAGACCGTATGAGTCTTGTCGCTTCTTATTCATATACGTTCTTTGCTATTTGTCTTAATTTACGTTCTTGTTATAAAGTATTTGTCTGCGCTAAAAACGTTCGAAAAAAATTTGTTCCAAGAGATCCACATTACTATTTGGATAATATTCACATTGTTGAAAAATAAATGAACTATTCCACATTTTTCCCAATTTGCCTCTGCACAATTTCTCTTCCGTGTGCTCAATTGGCACGTCTAACGTCGGCGAAATTGCACATTTATCTATATCTCTGTAACAAATTTGGTGAGTGTAAATTAAAAATGTGTAAGTGAAATTGCAGAATATTTTGATTTTATAATTTACTAAGTGAATACTTCGAGTGATTGTTTTCTGTATTATAAACCTTCATTGCACTCCTAAAATGGGATCTTTAAGTGGCCGCTGTACATGGGCGGATAAGCGTTCATCTGTACTATTGCGTTCGAATTTCCAACTCTTACTATGTGCTTTGTTTGTTATCGTCTTTTAATTACATATTTTACATATTGATGCAAATAAGAATAAAACATATCAGCATATTATTGCACATAACTTCAATTTATTATAGAATAAATTGTGGACTAATGGGCGGAAAATGGCGCGTAGTTTACTGACATACTCAAAGCCAAATCACATTTTCGCATATTTTGTTTGTACATCTTCATTTCCTTTAGAATTTGTTTTTCCTTTTTTTTTTTTTTTGCATTCTTCTACTCATTGCTTCTACTTTGCAGTTCATTCACATTCCTGTTTGCTGCTTTTAATTGATGGCGCATTTTGTGTCTAGTCAATATTTACATTGGTGTGTGTACGAGTGTGCAAAGAAAGGAGAAGAATAAAATAGAGGGCAAAATAAAAATATTTAACCACGAACTGAAGAGTTTCGGACGACAATTCGAACATGTCTTCACCAGCGACGAATTCTAATTCGGATGACGAGCATAGCCGGTAAGTGAGAGAAAATTCTGTTGCATTGTTGTATTGTACTTTACAATAACAGCTGTGGTTAGGAAGAGTGAAGATGAGAATTACGAAGAGAACGCCGGCGTTGTTTTCCAGGTGGGGAAAAATTGGGTGCGTTTTATTTCTCAATTGGAATATTTAGAATTTCACAGGGGTAAATAATAACACTACGCCTTGGTTGTAGCAAACGAATCGGTACGGAATATTTGGTTGTAGTCGGCGTTGAGTGAAAAATTTACTTAGGCCAACTATCCCAGCAGGAGGTTCTATGTGTGGCTATGTGTTTACGTTCATAAGATTAGATCCATAAGCTCCCTAACTACTCGATGTACGTCCTTTGACAAAAAATTGCAATAATAAGATATTTGAAAAACATCGGACCGAAGCGAAAACCATAAATAATTTTTTTAACCAGGTCCATGTACAAGAAATTTCGGAATTTCACTACTGAACTATGAAATATCCACGCTGTCGTGGAAGCAGGTTAAGCTAAAGATTGTACTCAAAGGGTTAATATCCATGAGAAATAAATTGTATACAATGTATTTCATATATGCAGGCTTGTACATATTTATGCATGTACATATAAATGGGTGATGTACTCAAAGAGCGTTTCAATTTATGGAAATATATTTTTGCGTGTATGTCTGAAGTGTTAGGAAGTACTCTATACACGTGTATTTAATCGAGCTTTCAAAAAATATGTAGAAAAGTGTGTTAACGTAAAATTTTATAAATAACATTAGTTTAGCAGCAATACTTTTCAACATCATTTAAAATTTTTGTTTTTTCTTTTTTCTAGTTCCAATTGGAAATTACAACTCAATGCGGATACACCTTCACCAAACTCAACCCCAACTACGCCCACTTCTTTGCACTCGTGTGCTGGCGTTGGTAGCGGCAGTGGCGGAGCACCGAAACGTAAAAGCGCCTTTCTTCCATATCGCCCTCAAGCTACTGTACTTACGAACTTACAACGTGGAAACACCGAAGCCACTTTTTGCCCAATAGAAGTGACCTTGTCCTTCCACGAACGTGCTGGTCAAGGTGAGATCACCGAGGATCAAGTGCGCATAAAACTCGAACGAAATGCGCATAATATTGATTTTAGAGATGCAGCTGGTTTCACAGCATTGCATTGGGCATCCTATTATGGTCAGTTGGCGACCGCACGTTTACTTGTGGATACAGGTGCTAATGTAAATGCAGAAGCACCTGAAATGGTAACTCCATTACTGCTTGCGGCCTGTGGTGGTCATAATGAGGTGGTTCGTTTGCTGCTAGACCATGGTGCAAACCCGGCTCATATGGATATTGTAGGCAATACTGCGCTAATGTACGCTGCGGCTGGAAATCATCCACATACATGTAATGAGCTCTTAGCGAAGGATCCGGATATGACGGCCTCTAATGAGAATGGCGATACGGCATATTCCATAGCTGTGGAGAATGGAGCTGTTTTGGCACAAGCCGTATTGGAACAATATTTGAGTGCGTTGTTGTTACTATAGAGTTCGAATCGATGAAATAAATGGAAAAATTTATAAAAACAATCGTATTGGTAAGTTTGTAAAAGGCGGTAGAATTAAAACAAGTACATAGTATAAAAGTTGATATTCACTGTTTTTAATTTGAATTATATAAAAAAAACTTTAAGGAATATATTTTATGGGATAATTTTTCATGAATTAGAAAATAAATATTACAAAAATCTAACTTTAGAAGGTTTATGATACTCACGCTCAAAAATACATATGTATTTCCAAGAAAATTTCGATTTCACTTGGTTATGAATTGTGAATAGTCCTTGATAGAAGAACAAAACCGGGCTAAATTTCTATTACGTGAGCGAAAGAAAGTTAAATTAATTGATTCTCGCTAAATGTAAATCTCAAATCATTATAATAAGTAAGCATTAATGTCTCTGAAAAAAACAGTGTACATCCTGCGCAAATAATTTCCATGTTCTTACTTGTAAATTCACCTCCGACACGCCCTAAATGCATAAATATCAACTTTAAATTACATACAGAACGTCTTTTAGCGACAACTATGTATGTATGTAGAAATATTTCATACATGCGGCAGGCCGGTAGCGGAGGGGATCGCCATAAGTAGCACTTCCGTTTATCAGTGCAAATTGCAGACAGTCTTTGATGCTGTCGCCTATTTTCTCTTCGTCAATTACTATATGCCCTCCTCAGTTAGCGAGTAAAAATGTAATGTATTTACGCATTTCACGACGCAATTATTATAGTCACAACAATACACATATGTAGGCATGTGTATGTATAACGAATACAACTGCATCATTATTTTCATATGAGAATACGATGTCCCTCCCACTACACCACCACTAAAGTGCATTACATATCAAAATAGTTTTGTTTCATTTCTTGTGCTGTGTATATAAGTACATATACATATGTATATGTATATGATGCAGTCACTAAAATTCATTCATACACTTGGGTCTACAAAATACAGCATCAAGCTACTTAAACGTATATACGTTCGGTCACCCAATCGTCCGCACGCCTATCAACCCGCATGCTGTTCTGGCTATGCATACATACATATGTAAAGTGGATCGCCATTGAGTGCACGAAACAGACCTCCGATACGTTCATGCCGTCTTTTACTGATTGTTCGTCACCTATCTTTTTAAAGCTTTATTAGTGGAAATGCATGTCCGTACCACTTCCTGACGAATTGGTATGGTTTATTTTGTTTTTCAATTGATGAATTGATGAAATGGAAATTAAGTTTTGGCTGAGTGGCACTGGTTTCATAGCTATTGTATATGTACCGGATTAAATGTTACTAAAATAGATAAGGATTATCCCCAGAAAAGAATAAGAATATTATTATGATACAAAAATTTTATATATAATTATTACTTCTTTCGTCTAATTAAGAAGTGATTAGCTATCTAATTAATTCATTCCAACCGCAACGAATTTTTTCAAGTCGAAAAATCAAAGTAAACATGAAAGATTTACTCATAAAAATATTAGTATGTAATTACCTCAATTCTTAAGCAAACTCTTTGAAACGACAAGGAGCGTAGTTCCAATGAAAATGAAAAGTTTTACTCTATAACTTATCACGAGATCGGACCCCTTTCAATATTCATTCAGCCCATGCAGGAGTTTCTTCTTTTTTTTTTTAAATACCGCACTAGCCGCAATTCAATTAGACACAAATATCCGGTTTTCAACCCAAAACATTCAATCCATAGAATGTAGAAAACCATTCAAACAATTTAGTGCCATCGAACATTGCGCGCACACTTCCTCACATAACTTCCAATAATAATTGTCATCATAATTCCTTTTACATTCATATCTCTGTAGATAGCTCTGTTATGTTTACATATTTCTCCTCAACGCTTACGTTTATGCTCCCATTGAGTAAATTGGTTTGCATAATTGCCCCTTCGTTTTAAACGTTTCCACCACCTTCATCACACCAATGGCTGATTGAGAAAGAGTGCTCATGCAGAAAGCGTTGACGTCGCGCTGTTGACAGCGTCGACGTGAGTATCGTTCGGCTGTATTCAGTTTTTAGCGACGCTCACCAGTTGTTTGGTTCGTACATTCGATTTAGTTGGACGTGTTTGTATGCTGCTGCTCTTGGCCGTTGACTTCAATTTTAGTGGTAGAGGAAACTCAACTTCACTGCTGCTTGTTGGTAGAAAGAAAGAAGTTTTGTATTGGCTGATTGCCACAGCAAACAAACGCAGCGAAGAATTTGAAGGTGTAAAACAAGTACTGAAAAAATAATGTAAATTATGTTATTTGAACTATTTTGTTGAATTACAAATATATTAAGAACTTGAGATTAAAGTGGTCAACAGGAAAAATACATACCAAAAAAAAAAAAACAAAAACTACTTTGTGCTGTGAGAATAATCAAAAAAAAAAAAAGAACACGATTCAAGGAAAATCACTACGCAATTTGTTATACTTATGTGTATACACAAAATTAGTGCCCGCTGTGCTAGAAGAAACTGAACACAAATCAACCAAAAGTGTACTTACACCACACGAGTTGGAAAAAAGAAAAAGAGACTTGCGTTGAAGTTTACTAATATCTTAAGAAATACATAATTTAGTGTAAAACATAGAGAAAGTACATTCGACCTTGCCAACAAAGCGTGAGAAAGTGAAAATAATTTTCGCCAAAGCAGCAGCAGCAGTGATACACATTGTCATGATTATATTTTTAACAAAAAATAAAAAAATAGAAATGTAAGTCTATATCCGTTTAATATTCAATCTATTTACATTCTTGAGTTCATAACCGGCGAAATGAATAATTTTGCTTTGTTTTTAAGAAATAAAAATTTGTAGATACTACATTTCCTTTGCGTTCATATCCTTCAGGGTGTAATACATTTTATTTTTTTCCAAAACCCATAATTATGTACATACATATATAAGTATCAACGCCTCATTTATACAGTCACAAATTCATACATATGTATGTATGTATGTATGTATGTATATACAACTACTTGCAATTTTCTGTTTCGCATGTTCATTGTCGAAGAGACCACCCTAATAAAATGAAAGTGCGAACGCAGGCGCCTCAAATGAAAAACAAAAAACAAAAACTGACAAACATCCTTTTTCATTTACATTATTTGATAATTCGTCTGGGAAAATATTTGAAAGAGTAGCAAAAAACGTGTAAACATAGTACATAGCAAATTTAGGTAAGGAAAAATTTGTCACCACCGAAAGCGCAACACACTCGCTTTGTAGAGCCAAATTTCTTTTCATTTCGCTCTTCAGATACCTATTTAGAATTATACACATAATTTGCTGAGAGAAGGAGGTGGGAATTATTTGTCAATTCTGTAAGATTGGTTCACAAAGAAGTACAAAAACCAGTTTTACAAATAGTGTAAGACCAAAAACACTGTTATTCTGAAAACCCATGAAAGCATGTGTAATTTTTAGTTGATTATTGACAAGACTTGGAGTTGCTGAGTGTAAGGTGGCTCTGTTTACTTTTGCTTGTCTTCCTTACTTGTAGTTTTAATTAAGTGAAAATACTGTAGCTAGTAGTGCCATCTGAAAGTACAATTAGATGTTACGGCGTGAGTAAATGGCGCAGTTCTTAGAAAGCTATCTAAGAAAACAAATATCATGAGTTGCTCGCTCAGAGATTGCATGCCCACACTTTCATACGTGCTTTTCAGATACTTTTTCGTCATTTGTTTAGCAAAATTTGTGCACGCCATGAGGTGTATAGTTTTCACACCCGTCCGTCTAACAGCAATGGTGTACTAGAAAAAAGTTCGTATATTATTTAGAATATTTGCAAATTTTGGTATATATTTACTATAAAGTTTAACATTTGTTATTGTTAGCTTGCTTTTTCAAATATTGAGATAAAATACATATGTGTGTGTAATGATAATTCTTCTGCATTGAAAATTTGTTTCATTTTGCTGCTGTCAATGTTTGCATTTTCCTGAAGTTTTAGCGTAGGCTCCCCCTGAAATATTTGCTACTGTGCCACTGTGTATGTGCTATTAGCTTTATGTTTCGCTCCGTTCTTTTTCTTTCCTTCCTGCACTTTGGTATGCGCCGCGGAGTTTTTTGTCGTTTACTCTGTATTATTTAGCTGGCACTGAGTTAATACTGCTCATTATGTATTACGCCTTCGTTTATTTTGCTCAACGCCATCGGTATTGTTGTTTGTTGGCCTTTCGGTTGATTGGTCGGTCACAACGTTGACTACGCTTGCTAGCAGCGGTTGTTGGCTTCTCAGTATTGCCTCTACTTTTGTTTTGCGTTTCTCTAAAAGAATGCTAACAGTGGCGCTGCATGAGTGTGTGCGTGTATGTGTTTTTTTTTTTGAGAGCAGAGAATGGGAGAAAAATTGAACATTAGAAAATAGGTTTTTATATGGAGAAAAGAGAAGAAATGTAAATGTACATCGGGGTGTATATATTATTTGATGTGTGTTCACGTTGCCAACTACTCTTGCGGATATACTTTATTGTTTCTTTGGATTAATCATCAGATGATTTTTTTTACAAGGAAGAGCAGCAATTTAACTTTTCTTTTTGTAGGTTAGTGTTTCAAGCCAGCAATCGAGATAGGGAATTGTTGACTGAATATTTGAAGGTGGAACTTTCTAGGCTACTAAGTGAAACATGAAATAGAAAATCCTCTTAATGAATCATAAATAATTGGAAAGTAAGGGAAATTTATAATTTCCACCAACTTAAACGATGTGTCTTTGCGAAATATTGTTTAGTTACTAGTAGAAAGAGCAAACAAACGGAATTACGCATTAATGGAATGCAATTTCTTTCGCTGATACCCCAACATGAATAATAGATAATTATCATTTAAATTTTTTGTTCTTTAAAAATAATATAAACTCCAGTGCCGTTGAACAGGACTACGAAGTACGACGAGACTGCGTAGCCTAGGTTTGCTTTCTATGCATGCTAGAGTGCTCGGATTGCACGTGAAATGGCTCAAGAATATAATATGTGAAAAAACTTACATATACCCAAACTATATCTTATGCACTTCAAGTCCCCATTCGACAATAACCACATCTTTGCCTTATTTAACCAATATATCTAACCCATATCGCCCTACGATTTATCCATCGAAACATAACATTTCCTTGTTTTAGTTAGATGATCTCGAGGTTTACTGGCTGCTGCATAATAGATGAGATGTAATGGGCTCCTGCAACAAAAAACAAAAATTAGTACATATGGATTTTACAATTCTTGGTTGGAGTGAAACATTTCTCTGTATATTCTTCTTCTTTAAATTCGAAAAAATTTTGCTTTCACTGATAATGAAAGCATTTATTTTGATTATTATATTTTATACATATAATAAAAACTCTTAAATTAAATTATCTAAATTCTAGTTTGCTACACTCAAATTTTTATTTTTGTCAACTGTTATCTGCTGTTTGATAGTTTATTTCGAAAAGTAAAAAAGTTTATTTTTCGAGTTTAATTTCACTTTTATTTCACTACATTTATGGGAGAAATAATAACAAGCTGAATATTTTATATCATTGTTTTTCTTTTACTAATTTCTAATATATTATTAATGAGAATTTTGATTATGTCTATTAAAATACTAATTAAAGGGGAAGCTGGGTCGAAAATCCTCTCAGCGATTATAAAGCGCATAATTTTTATACTGAAGTGTATTGGAAAGTGTTGGCAACTCGTTAATTGTACATATAATTTTATTTTATTCAAGTTTCTCATTTTCTTATTAGCTCACTCATCCAATATGTTGCAGTCTCTCTTAAATGTTACTATCTGTACATTGCTTTCTGCCTTCTCTTCTATAAAATTTCTGTTAACTTAGATGGAAGGGAATTAATTGTGTTTCTTCGTATGCCATGTGTGTACAGGCATAAATGTGTATGTAGCGCATATTGCATTGTCGTGAGATATTTTATTTGGTGTACGAAATACACAAACATACTAACAAATTTCATTCAGTACTAGTTTCTGGGGAAATTCAATACGATTGTAGATAGAGTACACAGATGTGAACCGTAGTAAAACTCTAGCGAATAGATGACAGCGACGACAACGAAGAAGCTAACGATGGATTTGAATATACTACACAGGTTCTCGGTCTTATTTTTACTACTATTTTTCTTGCATTCGTTCCTTCGTTTCAATTTGCTAGTTCGCCGACCTCCCTATCAATCTATCAAGCTGCAAACGACCGATTGGCCTGGTCTTGTGAGTAATAAAATCGAGCCAGAGCAGAGCAAAGAGCGTGTGAAGCTGTATCAAAAAAGTGAAGGAAAACCGAGCCGAAATGAAAAGTAAATAAATAAAAACGCACAGGAAATGATTCTCGTAATATACATATATGTAAATATATTTGTATGTGTGAGAGTAATAAAAAGCGAACGCTTGTGAGGTTTGCCGAGATCCACACATAGTACTGGAAAGGTCGTTCGAATGGAATTTTTTTTTTTTTTTTTGCAATTTCAAAATTTGTACGCCTTCATCGATGTCGAATTTTAGTCTGTTGCCATACATATATGTATGTATGTGTTACTGTGTGTTTCGCGTAGATGTTAACAGTAGTGCCAGGAACGCGCTATTATATGTATGTATATATATATGTATATAAATTTTATTTAGCGCATGTCTGTCTGCTCTGCATCTGTCAGCGTGAAAGTGTATATATACATACATACATACATACTTATATATGCACATATATAGAGCGAACATTACGCTGGTCGACTGGTTTGAGGTCGATAGCTCCGGTAACATAGGGTGCGCACATACCAAATCGAGACGGTATTTTACAGACGTCTTTTTTTTTTTGGGGGGTTTATTTGAGGAGACAGATGTTTTGACAGGTGTCAAATGAATATCTACTATGTACATATAAATAGAATTTCATATACATACGTACTTTTATGTATATACATACATACGTACATATGCATATTTTATATGAAATTGGGCAAGACGGTAAAACATTTGGTGCAGATTATAAATATTATTAACAACATTTAAAGTAATACATACATACATATATGAAAAGTTTCGTGTGAAGTACATACATATGTATGTAAGCATATACATACATAAATACTATATATGAAAGAATGTAATTTGTATATTGAGGAAAGTTAGTATACACTTGAGAAGTGGCGCAAAAGGCTTCGGCAAAATAACGTTTTATAAATTCGTTGCAAATTTCAAAGAAGTTTAATATTTCCCAATAAAATATGAAGTTTTAGTAGTGTATGTACGCTATAAAAATCTTGAATCATGTCATGAAAATACTTATCAAATAATTCTGAACAAAATGCAAGACGGAAAGTATTAGAACCGAAGTAAATCGAATTGATTTTTTCTTGCGCTTCTCCGATCCATCCTCCTTTCAAAATCTTT